GAGCTGCCAGTGCAGCTCTGCAGAGGCCGAGCGGTGCTCCAGGAGCGCAGCCTGCGCGCGTGGCTGCGTGGGGCAGCAGCGCGGCCCCGCGGCCGTGACCGCTGGCAGCAGAGCTCGCCCAGGGGATAGGTTGGGTTAAAAGGGATAGCGCTTTTGGCAAGTAGCCGCTGGGCTGCCGGGAGCCGGTGAAGGTTCTCACAGGCGTGACCTGGAGCGCGTGCCTTCGGCAGAGGAGTCCCAGCACACGGAGACCGTCTTCCGGGACAAGTCCGGCCGCAAGAGGGACCTGGCGCAGGAGCGGCTGGAGCAGAAGCTGCGAGACGAGGCGCAGGCGGAGCGGGACGAGCAGTACGCCCACTGGGGCCGCGGGTAAGGCGCTGCTCCCGGGAGCTGGCCCGCGTGCCGTGCGCTCCGGTGCTGCGTGTGCGGTGCACTCCGGCCCACAAGGTGCCCCAGCTCGGAGCCCAGCTGGCGCTGGCATCGCCGGTGAAGCCCCGCGTCTTCCTCCGCAGGCTCGCTCAGGGCAGGCAGCAGCAGCAGAATGTGGAAGATGCCATAAAGGAGATGCAGAAGCCCTTGGCGCGCTACATTGACGACCAGGACCTGGACCGCATGCTGCGGGAGCAGGAGAGAGAGGGAGACCCCATGGCCGAGTTCATCAAGAAGAGGAAGGCCAAGGAGAGCAAGGACAAGAAAGGTTTGCGACTCGGGTTCCTCCCAGGAGAGCAGCGTGCAGCTGCGTTCAGGCCCCAGCACAGGACTGTCCAGCAGCTCCGTCCTGACGGAGACCTTGTCAGCAATTGGTTCAGGAGCGCCGTGTGCTGTTGTGGCTTGCTGCTAATAGCTGCCCATAGCATTTCCCAGCGTAGGGAGCAGTGGCCTAGCCCACTCAGAGTTAAATGGGACTAAAGACCTTATCAGTTGCTTCCTCTGTGAGCTGCATTTGGCTATGAAATGCTTTGCACGGTGCATCTCTCTACCCCTTTTAGGGTGGTGATGACGTGGCCCCAGGATAGGCTGCAGTAGTAACCAGTTTTGTTGCTGTGTCTGTCTCCAGAGAAACCCAGGTACAACGGACCAACTCCTCCGCTCAACAGATTCAACATCTGGCCGGGGCACCGCTGGGACGGCGTGGACAGGTACGTGGTGCGAGACGCTTGTCGGACACTCACAGCAGGAACGGAGGGGCTGCCCGCGTTGGCTGAGGGAAGGTCCCCGGTCAGGAGGTGGATCATGAGCTGGGGCAGGGCTGGGAGGTGCTGAGTTAGCAGTGGTGGCAGCCTGGGGCAGGAGGCCGCAGGGCTCCCATCCTGGTGGCGGCGGGCGCTCCGCTCTCCTCAGAAATACCCTGTTGGGAGGGAAGCCCCGGGGTGCCTCCGAGGTGCCCCTGCTCGGCAGAACCCTGTGTCACGGCGGCCCGTCTCGCTGTCCCGCGCAGGTCCAACGGGTTCGAGCAGCAGCGCTTCGCGCGCATCGCCGACAGGAGGGCGGTGCAGGAGATGGCCTACAAGTGGAGCGTGGAGGACATGTAGCGACCCCGCCGCCACGGCTGTCCCAGCGCCCCGGGGTGGCGGGATGT